GTTGCAGATGCTTGTGGTGCTATTTTAGATGATGCAAAAGAAATTCAAATGATTTATGAACGAGGCACTAAGTCTTTAGATTTAAAGAATATTTTATTTAATCAGAAAGTCACTGGAAAATAATTAAATTCATTTGATTTAATTTTCTATCATTTAATTTTTTATTATTTAAAAGAGTGATAATAAAAACACTAAATATCATTAAAAAAATGTATTTTTTCTTTACTCTAATAATCTGTTCTTTTTGGCAACTTGTTCTAAATAAGCTAATTTCTTAAAGTCTTGTTGAATTTTTGGTAATGGACTAGAAAGTCTTTCACGATATGTTGTACAAGCAGAAGAATGATATAACTCTCCACTTGCTGTAATGGCCTTTTGAATATCTGCTTTAATAAGAGGTAATTTTTCATTAACTTGATCAACAATACTATTGTCTTTCATTTCTTCATCAATAGTCTTAATTGTAACAACAGTTTCATTAAGTAAATTTCTTACAACATCTAATTCTTCATCTTCAAACAATTTATTTGGAAGCATTTTTTTTAGGTTCTTTGCAATAATAGTATACCTCTTTTTCATTTCTACTTTCATATATCTAATTTGTTTTACTGCATTTTGAGCTTCAGAAAGAGCAGACTTTTGAAGTTTTTCAATTAATTTCTGATATAATGAAGTAAATGCTTGAATGTCTAATGGACATTTTCCTTCAGTAGAATAAACAGTAATTGCATTGTTCCATTGAATCAATTGTTCATTAATCATTTTTTGATAGATTTCAATCATAGTTTTTGAAAAGTCAGCGCTTTTCTTATACTTTTCAATTGTTGGATTATAACTATCTCCTGAAGTTAAAGCAATTCTTAAAGTGACATTGAATCGATTATCATCTCTATTAATTGGAATTTCTTTTTTCATATGAGGGACAAGATAGTTATATACTTGAATCCATCTTTCCATATGTAATTTTCTAATAATTTGAGATTGTTCTATTTCTGGAATTCCAGCTAATAAACTTCGTGCTTCAGTTAATATCTTTTCTTTTTCTTGATGATTCATAACAATTACTTCTTTTAATTTATTGATTATATTAGTTAGTTGAGGATTAACTGCATTTAACTGGTTTGTTTCTTTAATTTTTGCTTCAAGGGCAGTTTGTAGTTGTCGTTCATCCTCTTCAAGTTGTAATACTTTTTGTCTCATTTCTGCAACTTGAATTTCTATTGCAGATATCACGTGTGGGAATGTGATCACAGCATTTGAATAAACTAAAAACAATACAAAAACGAAAATTAAGTATTTCATTTTTTCTTTTAAAATTATGATTTTTCAATTTTTTAATTTTTAGTTCTTTTATTTTTTTTTAATTTTTATTAATTCTTTTCATTTTTTTTTAATAACTTCTTTTGTCATTTTGAGAATGAGAAAACAAAAAAATGACTAGGAAAAGAACTTGAAAACAGTGAAAATTCTAAGGAAATAATAAAAAATCTTTTGTTTAAATCAAAAAAGGGCAACTTTTTGAAACGAAAGGATAAGGTAAAAATACTATTTAAAGGTGGAACTAGAAAAAAAAATCAGAAAATCAATGTTTGCTTTGATTACCCTTATTGTTATTGTTAATGCCGACTACAGTGGATGTGGGTGTTGTGAAGTAAATGGAAAATGTGATGTATTCCAAAATGAATGGAGTTGGTTAGATGAATGTATTAAACATGTTCCACAAGAAAAAATGCCAACAGATCCAAATTGGTTCAAAATTGTTAGACTTCCAAATGCCACTTATGATAAATGTACAGCACCAACTGGATATTCTCCATCTGATAAAACTCCTGTTTATGTCTATGATAGTCCATGTACTTGTTTCGAAGATTTTGCTGATCGTATTATGAATTCATTTAGTTGTGGAACTGAATTTCTTAAATCACTTGATGAAGTTTGCAATACATTGGGATGTCAATATTGTAATTTTATTACTCCAAAGTGTGGTGAAACTCAATTAAGAAGATGTGATTTAGTATATCAACAAGAAATTGCTTTAAACAAATATCCTACTCCTGATGATGTTTGTCGTGCTCTTTCAAAGAAGGTCGAGTGTTATGATAATAACCATTGTGATTATACTTCAACTGCTCAAATGCAACAAACTGTTAAACAATGTAGAAACTCTACTTGTCCAACTTGTTACCAAATTTGTAAGAATGGTGCTATTTCTACTTTTACTCTTTTTGCTTTCGTATTGCTTGCTTTTGTCTTCTAAAATAATTCACTTTCGCTCGGAATATACTTTTTGTGTAAAATGTTGTTATTTGTTTTTATTTTGAATAAATCAAAATAAATAAATTTGATCACCTTTTTATTATTCTTCATATTTTAGTTTTATATTTTTCATTACAGGTATTTATAGTCTTATAGTATTTTTGTATATGTATTGTATTTAAAATTTCATGTTCTGTTCAATTTGTTTGTTCATTCTTATACTTTGAGACCCTTATTATTATTAATGAGATTATCTGTATTAACCAAAATTTAACAAATTTAAATTATATCATTATTATAATAACTATTGTTTAGATAATAAATTTTATATTTTTACTTATGAGAAATTAATTGTATTTTGTCATAATTTATTCAAATATAAATTATTATACTGCTTATAACACTCTAGTCGGATGGTATTATGTTATCAAAATAGACATTTCATAAAAAATTTATATTTGTTAAATTATTAAACAATTTTTGGTATATGCAACTTACAATTAAAATATAGAATTCTGGTGAATTTAATTTATCAAATAACAAAATATCTTTTTATTTAAACATTTTTATTAATGAATCTCTTCATGTCATTAACATTAGTTTCTTTAATTTTTTATGTTGTTATGAACTTTGTTGACAAAGTTTTGAAAATGGTTTTTCTACTAGTAAGAGACAATTAACAATTTTTATTTTTCCCTTATAAATCATATCCAAAAACTAAAGACCATCAACTATAATAAAGAAGGAAATTGTTTTTTTTTTAAATTAGATAATAATCAGTATATTAAAGATTAGATAGTTTTGATTTTAGAATCTTTTGATCCTTTATTTTTAAGTTGTTAATAAAATTGATATGTGTTTTAGAGATCATTTAAGACTTGTTTAAATGACATTAAATTTGAGTTTTAGTTTAGATAAGTTAATTCAAAGTATTGAAAGGATATTTTTTAAATAACATTAAATGTTATATATATAATGGATCCATTAAATGAATAAACCATTTAAAAATAAAAAGAAAATACTGAATAACAATAATGAAAAACAAAAATAATAGAATTTGAATTGCATGAAATAATCAAAAAAGAGAAACTCAAAAGGGAAAGAAGCAATTGAAAAGAAGATGCCTCCATTAGAAGATGTATTTATCCAAACAATCATTAGTTATATTAATCAATTACAAACAGTAAAAAAGATACTTTATGTAAGTAAAAGAATACAAAGAATTATTAAAACAATGAAAATTAATCCATATTTTATGTGTTCAGCAGAAGAAAAAGGAGTTAGGGTATTTCATATTCAAAATATAATTAACATTTTTTCTGGTATAGAAACACTTCAAATAACTCCTGATGATCTTATTATTGATTTTAATCAATGGGAAGTTAATACAATTAATATATCAATTACTTCTGATGAACTTGTCTCTTCTATTCCATTTAAAAAACTTATATCATATGTAGGAACTACAGATGAATTTCTTAAACAATCTAATAATCAAACAAATTTTCCATTAGAAAGACTTTATATTATTCAACCAGAGAATATTGATATAAATGCACTAAATTGTTTGACTTTATTTCCATCTCTTAAATTTGTTGAATTTTGTTTAATGAAGAGAACCAAAATTCAATATTTTTTACAAATGAATTAATATATTCTTTATTAAAAAAGAATATTAAAGTTATTGTTAATCACCCAGAAATGAATAAAAATTCAATTCATATTCGTTCATTATTACCAAATAATATTTACAATATATATTCTAATGTATTTCCTTTTGGTTCTTTTAATAATGAATTACTTATAATTTCTCCACAACAAACTGATTTATTTCAAATATATAATCCAATAACAAATTTTTTTAATAACAATTTATATAAAAAATTGTATTATCCATATCTATATGAAGGTGAATATAATTTATTTTTATCTCAATTAGACTCTTTACAATTAATAGAATTAAAAAAATCAAATAATACTTCTCTTATATTTCCTTCTAGTTTAAAAGAATTACACATTTGTTTTACAAATACTAAAAATTATACATATAAAAATGAATCAGATTTATCTTTATTAACAACACTTAAAATTAAAGAATATAATAAAAAAACTTTAATTCCTTTAAACATTCAAAAATTAGTTATTGATAAATTAACATCAAAATTTCAAGTAACACTTCCTCAACTTACTAAGTTATCTATTCATAAAACAAATTTTAAAAAAATAATTCTTAATTCTACAATTAAACATTTAAAACTTGATTATTATTATAATAATATGTCTCTCCCTCATTCAGTTAAAACACTTCAATTATATTCTTGTGATGAACTTCTTTCTATTAAAAAAATTGAAAAATTAATACTTATTAATACTGATAATATAAATATGTCTCTTCTTCCTCTTTGTTTAAAAAATATTTCTTTATACAATGTCAAAAAAATTAATTTAACTCCACTAGAAAATCTTGAAGAAGTTTATTTAAATTTAATTTCATTTAACGGATTCTTTGATTTTAAAAATATTAAACTTCCTCCAAGTATTAAAAAATTAATATTAGAATTTACTGGTAGAATAGGAGATGCTGATCCAAAAAATATTATAGATCAAGCTAAATTATATTTCTCTCTTATACCTAATATACAGATGCTTGGAGAATTCTTTGAATAAAAAAGAAATAAAAAAATTCAATTAAATCAAATCTGAATCAAAATATGATACAGTTTGAATTGAATCAATTCGTTGTTTAATTTGTGGATCACAATTTATTTTAATTTCATGAAGTAAAGAAGAAGAAAAATTTATAAGATTTTTTTGAACAGAAATAGATTCTATATATTCAATTAATGATAAACAACTACAAATTGATTGTTTCATTAAATGAATAAAAGGTGATATCATATAACTATCTTTTGTTTGTACTTGATAACGATTTAGTTTAATTGATTCTTTATTTTCTATTGTACTAAGAAGAAGGGCTTTTGACATTTCTATTGGAAGAGCAAAGAAAGGATCAACATAATTAAAAATTATTTTATTTCCACTAAATGTTTGATTCATAACATAATTAAAAGCAGAATAAAAATCAGTAGAGAAGAATGGAACTAATGATGACATTTCATCAGGATCAGTAATACCTGAAATCATAAGATGAATAATATAAATTCTAATAAGATCTTCTTTTAATATGTTTGAATTAATAATAAATCCTCTTATTAATTGAATTACTGTACAAATAAAACCTTGTTGATCTTCATCATTTTTTCTTTCAGGGATATTAACGTTATAATACCATTTTAATGTATCAATAATAAAATTAGGTCCTACAATTAAATTCATCATTTGTACCAATGCAATATCACTTTGTACAAATTCATAATTAATTGGAGTAACATATAAATTATAATTTGATACAAAATTTTCACCAGTTAATAACCATTTACCATTTTCATATTGGTGTCTAAAAACTAAATTCATTAATCCATATTCAACAAGTATTTCACCATCTTCTTTTGAAATATCAATAGATAAATCATTTTTCATTAATACTGAAAGAATTAATGTATAAAAATACAATAAAGGAGATAGAGTTGATATTGGTTGATTTATTCCAATAATTCTATTATGAATAATACTTTTTCCAAAATGAATTTGTTGAGAATTAATCATATAATTTTTTAAATGATTCATTACAAATAAATGAATATCATTAAATATTTCATAAAGATATCTAATATCAATATTATCAACAAAGTAATAAGCTGTAATTTTCAATGGAAATAATAATGGTTCAATTATACATAATGTAATTTTTTCAACATACTTTGTTCTAAGTGAAGGTTCTACATTTGATAATTCTTGAAGGCATTGAAGGTATTGAATTAATGTTTCTTTATTCATTATTTTATTAGAATTACCAAATACATAATTAATAATTCTTAAAGATTCACAAATATTATTTTGTAATGTTTCATTTTCTATTTCATTTTCTTTAAATAAACGAATGTACTGTTGAAGAGTTTGTAAATAAAATACAAAACTTCTGTCTTGAATAAATAAAGAACTTAATTCTTTTTGAAGGAATAGTTGTGAATAAAGATCATTTAAAATATATCCATTTTCATATTGATCATCAAATGATAATTTAACAAAGAAGTTAAATAATAATGAAGAATTATAATGAACCATTCTTGGATGACTTTGAAATGATGTGATAAAATGTTCTAACTCTTCTGATAATTGTTTTTCACAACCAATAAATAAAGCTTCACCAATAGTTAAATTTTGATACGAATATCCATTAATTTTAATAGAAAAAGAAGTTGGTTTATTCATAAGTTGTCCAAATATATTAAATAATAAATATATTTCAGAAAGTTCGTTTAACATTTTTCCAATAATATTTATTCCATTTTGACTATGATTACATTCACAATGACATTCTTCGTCACATGATGAACAACATTCTTCTTTTTGATGGGTTTGAGTATTGCTATTAAATAAAAATTTAATAATAGTTATCAATAATGTTTCTATCTTCAGTGGAATGTCTTGATAACTACTGGGCAATAATTGACTTGCATCTCCTTCAAATTTTTTTCCATGATTTTTACAAAATCCATTTACTTTCCATGCTAACTCATTTCCACAGTCACAAGTAAATGAATCAATTGTTTTTTGCATTTCATAGTCATGTCCTTCATGGTTTCCATTCCTAAAACATTCTTCACAAATACATGAATATTCATTTGTTTCACAGGTTTTACATCTATAGATAATGCTTTGTGTCCCAAAATTTGATTTTTTCCTACAAATACAAGAAGATAATAATGGTTTAATATCTTTTTCTATTTCTTCAAATGGTTTATTAAAAATAGAAGAAAATACAGGGTTCTCCCTTGGAGTGTATTCAGACTCTTCTTTACTAAGAAAGGCATTAACAATGTTAGCAATAGATTCCATGTTAAGTTTAAAAGAAATAAGTTTTAATTTATAATATTTTTATAATTTATATTTATTATAAATTTATTATATTATATAACATTTTGTTATTAATATTTATGTTATTTGATAAAAAAAGAAATAACAAAATATAATATAATAATAAAATAATAAAATGGTTTAATAATTTATTTATCAATAAATTGTTTTAAAACACAGAAAGAAATAAAAAATTTTGTTGTAGTATAAAAAAAACCTAAGAAAAGAATAAATAAAAAAGTTATTATAATGAAACTATAATGAAAGTTAAAAAATTAAAAAGAAAAACTGAATAAGTTGAAACAACCCTAAGACAATGTCTGCTGGTCTTGCCTTTGAACTTAAATCTACTCTTGAAGGACATAATGGAGCCGTCACATCACTTGCTGTTGCTGCAACAAAACCAGACGTTCTTGTCTCTGGATCACGTGATAAGACTCTTATGGTATGGAAAGTAGACACAAATTCAGAAGCTCAAGCTGAAACTATTCTTCCAACTAAATCACTTCATGGACACAGCCATTTCATTAGTGATCTTGTTCTCTCAAATGATGGACAATTTGCTATTTCATCATCATGGGATCATACTTTAAGACTTTGGGACCTTACTAAAATGGAATCAGTTAGAAGATTTGTTGGACATGAAGGAGATGTTATGTCAGTTGCCTTTTCTGCTGACAATACCAAAATCATTTCAGGTGGACGTGATAAAACAATTAAATTATGGAATACTGTTGGTAAATGTGTTGCATCTGTTAAAACTGATTCACACTCTGAATGGGTTTCATGTGTTAGATTTGTTCCAAATGCTAAAGGAAACAAATTTGTTTCTGCTGGTTGGGATAATCAAGTTAAAACTTGGACTCTTGATCAATCATGCAAATTAGAATCTACTATTACTCATCATACTGGATTCATTAATACCGTTGCTTTTTCACCAGATGGATCAATTATGGCTACTGCTGGTAAAGATGGTAATATTGCTATGTGGACACTTAACAATGGTACTGGACTTTATGAATTCCTTTATGATGTTTCAGTTAATTGCCAAGTTTATCAAATTGTTTTTGCTGAAAATCCAGAACAATACACTCTTCTTGCTGCCACTGAACTTGGAGTTGTTGCTATTAAGGATAAGGAAATTAAGGCATTCACTAAGACTTCAGCTTGTATGTCTATTTGCCTCTCTGCTACTAAGGATGTCATTTTCACTGGACACGTTGATAAGAAGATTAGAATGTGGAAAGTTGGAGTTGCTAGTACTATTAAAGCTACCAACTAAATTTTTTACCAAAAACTTAATTTAAATTGGGGTCGTTTGCTTCTTTTGTTAATTTTTTTTGTTTCTTTGAAATTATTTGTTGTAAATAATATTTAAATTGTATGATCTGATATATAGAAATATTATGTTATTGTTTATTTTATTTTAAATCTTAAAGTTTGTTTATATATTTGTTAATTGTTTTTGGTTCTATTTCTTGATAACCCATCCCTTTATTTAATTTATTATAAAAATATTTGTTTAAATGTTTTTTCATTATATTTTCATTAACTCTGTTGGACTTAGAAGAAGAACCTTGTAACACAAGCATGTTGGAAACAAACCATATGATAGATTAAGAGCTTATTGAAGAAACTGAAATAATCACCTCTCAATATAAAGAAAATCCAATTGTAGATATATTTATTAATTCCTTTTTTGCAAATTGTTCAAGGATTCAAAAATAAGTCTTATAATTTTAAATTGTAAAAACAAGTTAGAAGACACATCTTGATTTGTAAATTTAAGGAAGAAGGTTCTATTGATAGAGTAACCATTGTAAAAATAGAATACATTTTTAAAAGTAATATCTTTTTATTGGTTTTTTGATGACGTTTTCCTCCACTTCTCTTAAAAATTACCAAAATGATTTGAAATGGTATAAATAAAAACAATCAACTAACTTGTTTTGAGTTGAATAGCTATTTATGAAATTTGATAAATAAAGGTAAAATTTTATCAAGTCAAATTTGAGAAGAATGGAATAATGATATTATAAAATAAAATAGAACTAAAAGTATTTCTATAAGATTTTTAATTACAAAAAGGTCAAGACATGAGTGTTAAAGTTTCTGACTCTGAAAGACTTGCAAAGAAATACATAGAAACAAGAAATTATCTCGTTCATCAACAAGCTGTTTTAATAGGTTTATTAAATAGATATTATGATATTAATTTAAAAAGATCAAGAAAGGTTTCTGGAAAAGCAGAAGGATTAATAAGAATTCTTTCAATAGAAGAACATGGTGATATTATTGATACAAGAGAACTTGTTGAAAATTTTTGCAGAAGAAAGATGGAAGCAGATATAATGAATGGGATAAGTTATAAAACTGCTTATAGAAGATTCACAAATAACAAAGTCTCTGAAGTACATCACTTCTTAATGGATACACTCCAATTACAAGGGTATGAATATGAAAGTTTTTATTCTTCAGGGAAGAATAATAGTAATCGAACTGAAACATTCACAAAAATATTTTGTGAAAATGAACTTTTATTTGATAAAGATCAAATTGAGGCATGTGGTATTGAAATTAACTTATGGCTCAATAATCAATTAAAATATTATAATTCCATTAAGTTACAAAGGGGAGATAAATGTTTACAATGTATTCTTTCATTATTTTAAACTATAAACTACAACAGATAATTGTGCAATAAATTGAGCAACTATTATTATTTTTGGTTTCTATTTTTAAATTGAAGTAATAATAAAATAATGATATATAAAACACAATATGAAGAAACTAAAAAAATTAAAAAAGAAAAAAAAAAATGAAGTAAAAATTTTTTAGTTATTATGATGTTGAAATAAATATAGAAAAAGTAATAATAAAAAATAATAAAATAGAGTTTTAATTAAAAATAGCAAAAGTAGAAACTTCTTTCAATGAAAATATTAATAAAATTATGGTAATTAAGAAAAAGATATAGTATTAGAAATTTCACTTTACACTGGTATTTGAAGAACTCTCAGAAGAACTAAATTCAATCATGTTTGGTTTACTTTTATTTGTAGCTGCTGCTACAGCCATTGACTTCAAGAGTTGGGCTGCTAAAAACAATAAACACTTCACTGCTGTTGAAGCACTCAGAAGAAGAGCTATCTTCAATATGAATGCTAAATTTGTTGCTAAATTCAATAAGGCAAATTCATTTGAATTATCTGTTGATGGACCATTTGCTGCTATGACAAATGAAGAATATAATCATTTATTAAGAGTACATGAAACTGAAGCAGCTGCTGACTCAGTTTATGATAACACTATTATTACTGCTAGTTCTAAAGATTGGAGAGCTGAAGGTAAAGTCACTCCAGTTAGAGATCAAGGAAATTGTGGATCATGTTATTCATTCTCATCACTTGCTGTCCTTGAATCAAGATTATTAATTGCTGGAAGCAAATACAACCAAAACAATCTTGATCTTTCAGAACAACAAATTGTTGACTGTAGTACTGCTAATAATGGATGTAATGGAGGATCTCTCTCTGCTACTTATCTTTATGTTAAAAATAATGGTGTTACTGATGAAGCTTCATACCCATACACAGCTACTAAGGGAACTTGCAAAGCTTTCACTCCAAAAGTTAAAACTACTGGTTTAACTCATGTCACTCCAAATGAAGATGCTTTGACTTCAGCTCTTGAACAAGGACCAGTTGCTGTTTGTATTGATGCTGGTAAAGCTTCATTCCAATTATATAAATCTGGAGTTTATGATGAACCAAAATGTAGTAAAACTGTTAACCATGGTGTCGCCGCTGTTGGATATGGTACTCAAGATGGTAAAGACTATTATATTGTTAAGAACTCATGGGGAACTTCATGGGGAGACAAAGGTTATATTTTAATGTCAAGAAATAAGAACAACCAATGTGCTATTGCTTCAGTTGCTTATTTCCCAAATGGTGCTCATGACGCTAACTAAGAATAAATCTTTTCATCTTTTTATTAATTTTTGTGTTATTTTTATTTTATGTAGAACAATGATATTTTTTATAATTAATTATTATTACAAATTAAGAAAATGTATTAATAAAATAGTTGAAGGAGAGTTTTGTTGCTTGAATAAAAGTTGTAATTAATTATTTATTACGGCAATAAACATAATTAATAATTCGTATCCTTCCATTCATTATCCTAACTTGTCCTATCTGTAGCTATCAACTTAACTCCACTTTTAACAAAAATAAAAATTATTTGAAGAAATAAGTATTAGTATTTTAGAATCCAAACAAAAGAAAACTAAAGAAGTTACCAAAAAAGGTATGTAAAAATTACAAGAATATAAGTAAGTTTTAAATTGGTTTGTTCTTTATTGTGATAGCACTAAGACTTAAAAAAGGATGGTTTAGTTTTTCTCTGTTAAGTTCTTATTTAAACTTAATTTATATAATATTCTAAAAGAAGAAAATACTATTTTTATTGTTTGTTCTTTCAAATTTTTCGTTAACAAAGAAAATTGAATAACTTTTATTAAATCAATTGAACCAACATGATTGTAATACAAAGAGGGCCAGTGTTAGATTCTCATTTAATATTTTTTTTTTGCTTCTTTTCAAGTAAGCTATGTTATAGAAAGAATATCAAAAATAATTGTTTAAATAGAGAATGACTAGTTGGATAATGTTTAGAAGAGAAACAACATCTTAAATTGAAAATATCTTCTTTTCATTTCGGATCCATAACTGAGAGATATATCGTTTGATTTATATTTTTTTTAAAGAATCATAACTAGGTTCATTAAAGATAGTGCCTTGTTTATAATTATAGTTAGAATATGAAAATATACAAAGACAAGAAATTTCATTATTTTGTGTAACAACTCTGTTTTTATATTCTTTTATCGAAGAAGTGTTCCTTTGAAATGGTCTATATAAAATAATACTCTATTATCTGATATAGTTTATGCTCAAATATTAGATGTAACTGTAATATATCTAAACCAAAGAAGAGTCCATAGTTTTAATAATTATCCTTGATACTGTAACAAGAATATGTATGTTAACTAAATTTAATAATCTCACTGTATAACCTTAAGAAAGGAGTCACAGACAGATCAATTAAAAATAGATTTAGTTTCAATAATGATAGATTCTTAGTTTATTAAATCAATAAAATCAATTTTTGGTTTTTTAATATGTAAATCAATAAAAGAAGAATTGTATCTACAATAGGATAATCAAAACTTGACGTTATTCATATAATAAGTTGATTTAGAACAAGAGAATACTAACAATTCTTATTTTTCTTCATAAATATTACTTTTTATAGTAATATATCTCTTAATAATTTTTATCACAACGAATCATTATTTTTTATTTAGTTAATGATTGTGTTTGTATTATCGAATCTTTGTTAATACTTTTTTCTGTAGAAAATATATATCTATTTATAATTTCATCATTTCTATTACTATTAGGTATTTTAATTAATATTTTTAAAAGGGCTACATTATGTAAATAAAGAATGGTTTGCTTAATGAAAGATTTATTGAAAACAATGAATTATTATCTGAATGTAATATCATAGCATGTGTTCATTAAATAATAGTTTTATTATACTCTTTCTGGTCATTGTATTTGTAACTCAGTCATATTGGACTTCTTTCAGAGTCAGTGAAAACAGTTATAAATTCATAAATCTCTCTAATATCAAAATTTATTTTATCAGTTAAATTAGAAATTCCTTCTTTATTTTCTAATATAAGTTTCTTTTCATAACTGTTATCCTTTCTTTAGTATTACCAAACTTAATTTATTTTTTATTACACGGAGTATTAGAAGCAAAACAATAAAAGTTGATATTAGGGCGTTTTTATAGATGTGTTTCTATCCGTTATAAGTTGTTGAACAATGTATTATACTTTCAAAACTAATATAGTGAGAGTTCTTTCTATGTTCATACCATATTCTAGACATATCCTGAACAACTAACATTAAGAAAACAATAACCAATATTCAATATAAAATAAAAGACAAGACCTTACTATTAGAGTCAAACAACTCTTGATTTTTAACTAGATAAGAAACAATAGAAGATTATTATTGAATGAGAAATCAATGAAAAAACAGTACAATACTCTTTTTTTAACTTTTCTAAAAAAAAGAAATCAAAAACTCCCAAACATGAACTTTTCAAATCTATTGAAAATTTTCAGAAAAGATTGATCTAACGAAACACTCCAATTTTCTGAAAAAAAATTTCTTATTGAGGACCAACAATTTCATCATCGACATCATCATCAATACCTTCGAAATCATCATCGTCATATTGGAATCCATTGGGGTTATCTTCTGAGTCTTCAGGAGTAGAATCAGGTTTAACAAAGAACTCTGAAGTTTCTTTATCTCTTGTAATAACGATATCGTTTACGTAACGAACAAAGTCGTTATTTCCTAAGTTGTTGATAAGTAATAAAATAATTTAACTATGTAAAGAAAACAAACCCATAACTAATTCATAAACAGGTGATGTTTCATCTTTATCTTCAACTGATTTAAGTGTAGTAAGCATGATTTGATTAGCAATTAACCAATAATCTGGTGCAATATTGTTGACGTTTTTAATTTCAACGGCTTCTTTATCTTTTTCGACCATCTTTGTTAACAAATTTCCTCCATCTAATAACCTTAATTTTAAACAATTAACTTGTCCATTTAAAATTGATGAAACAGTCATTTGAATAGTTTGTCTTACTATTGTACATAAATGGTCTCCATAAAAAATATCCATCATTGAACCAAGTACATTTTCTTTAACAATAGTATCATATACCTGTTGGAATCCACTTAATACAAGTGAAAGAATAATATAAACAAGATTATTTGTAATACTACCTACCTTCCTTGTAGTAAACACTTTTTCAAAATCACCGACATGTGGCATTAATGCCTTAAATATACCTGGGAGATTATTTACGTCACTATATGTTAAGACTGTTGAACATGCAAGAATATTACTAATAATTCTAAAACATTGTTCTACTAAGAAGTCATCATCTGATGCAAAAACATATCTAATAAATTCTTTTAAAGTTGGCTCATTATTAAATCGTGTAATGAATTGTAATGCTGGTGAATCAACACTTGAAACTTTCCATAATACAACGTTATGAATAAATGATGAAATATTTCCAATAGTATCAATTGATTTAGTTGTCATTAATGTTTCTAACATTCTTGAAATGAAATTTCTTTCACATATCCAATTAATATATCCAGTTTTTTCATTACTATCTTCTAATTTCATTATTTGAAGAATTGTTTCAAGTAATCCAGTAAGGTCTTGATGTGCCATAATTGTTTCTAAAATATTTTCATTTGCAATAAATAAATCATAAACAACAGAACCATCTACTTGAACTAATGACATAAGAACTTGTCCTGCAGCACTCATTCTTTTTTCGTTTTCACTTAATAATGCATCAAAAAGATAATTAACTAATTCTGGATTAGTTCCAATAGCATCTACAACTTTTACTGGTTCATCCCCAAACATTGATGAACAAATAATATGGTATTTTGAACAAAGGTTTTTGTCCACATCTTCTGGAAAGTCTTCAGTTGTGTATTGAAGAATTCTTTTTAAGTTATATAGCTCAGAACAAAATTCAATAAGGTCATTATTTGAACGAAGTTCTTGAATAAAATCTTCGTCATCCATTAACTTTTCTAATGTACAATCTTCTTTTCCAAGAAGAATGTCAATAGGTGATTGCATGGGTGGAAATCGAAACATCCCTGTCCAATAATTCATTCCCTTCTACGTGAGTTTCCTTATCACTTTGTTATCTTATTTCAGTTTGACAATGACCAATTCGTAGAACTTGAATAAATAAAAATTAAATTAAAGAGGTATTAAAAACAAACGATCTTTTTTTAGAGTTATTAGATCATAACCCTTTTTTATTTGCCCTTTACAAGAATTATGAAGCCTGACTTGTGCTTATTCCCTGAACCTATTTCAAAGGAATTACTTGGTTCTCTGTTCTCAACACTTTTATAGATTCTCTTACTACTCTAACTTATGTATTCAAACTTCCTTACTAGTTCCTCATTTTTCGGGAATTTAGCAGAAATTATAAATAGATCAATCTATAAAATAGATCTTGAATTTTTACTGACCAAGATATTTAATAAAAAAAGAATTTAATTATATTTTTAAGTTTATTTAAATAATAGCAATTTTGTTTCATAAAACTGTATTATAAATAAAAAACAATTAAAAAATGGAAAATACAAAAAGAGAATTATTAAAATAGTTTAGTTTGATATTTTTTAAGTTTATATTCAACAAGTTATAAAGAATCATAATAATAAATACATTAAATTATTGTTGGTATTCAATTGTTAGAAGACATTGAATGGGTTTATCAAAGTTTAGTTCTGAAGAAGAACAAAAATTCATAAATCCAGGTCTTCCAGTATATGGCTCGAAATAGTGTTTCGCTTTCTTTCGAATAATTACGTGGTCTTGTCTGAGTCCAATCTCAACAATAACCTTCCTTTTAACAGAATTGGTTGCTCCAATAAATACCGAGACACACTTTTCTTCTATTCTATGAACTCCTTGAGGAAATATCAAAATTTCCCAGGGTGTTAGTTCATAAATCCATTTAATAATAACTGGGAATGAGTATGAACTTTCTGAAATTTGATCAGTTGGGTTCACCCAAACACTACTCTTGATAATTTGTGGATTTATTTGGTCAATTTCGAAATATTCATCATCTCTCTCATCTCTATTATCAGTCATTAATTCCTGGTGATGAGTTAGCTGATGTTCTTTCAACGTTTCGAATGTGATTGTTGTTCCACATTTCTTTGAAAATGGACAACGAATTTCTTGTTGCATCAACAACGAATAGAGGCATCTTGATGTGTGTTTAATCGTCAACGAATTTGTAAATTCCCCTCTACAAAAAGGGCATGTCATCATTCTCTGGATGTCCCACCATTGATATAAACACTTCTTGCAAAATAATTTGCCGCATTTGTTATGTTCAATCACTACATGATTATATCCATTTTTAAAAAAAAAATCTTTTTGAACAAACTTTCTTTGGGATTAGGGATTTCAAGACAAATTGGACATTTTAAATCAACTAGTGTTTTGGAAACAATTAATTCTTCCCCTATTGACATCGAATAGTGTATTTATTTAATTTCTTTCTATAAACTTCCTTTAATGTGTAATATGCGATCTGTCTTTTCATTTGGAGAAGTCTATAAGTAATAAAAACAAAAAGGTCAAGAAATACTATCTGTCTTATATCTATAATAATTCTGTAACATATAAAAATATATTAGACACAATCTTTAATATTTAACAAAACAAACTTTCAAATAAAGTATTGTATCTAAATCTTTCTACAACTAATGAGTAAAAGTGTTTCACTTATTCTAAATATTAGAGTTGATTAACTATAGTTTAAAAAAGGTGATAATACAAAATTTTAAAACAATTAAATAAATAGAAGGATGCTGGATTAAAACTACTTTAAAAGGATTTAAATTGTTGAGACTTGCAAGTCAAACTGATAATGTTGGAGTAGTGAATTATATCATTGAACATTATCCAGAACGATTGAACTACCAGGACGTTTATGGGAAGTCATGTCTTTTTTATGCTGTAGAACAAGAACAATGGAACACTGTGAAATATTTAATTAGTAAGAATATTAATTATTACATGGCAGATAAAAATGGAAATTCATTATTACATATTCTTGCAAAGATTAAAGTCAAAAAGGAATATGAAGTTATATACTTTGAATTGGCACAAAAACTTATTTCTCATAGAAGGATAGTAAGAGGTAAAAATTTACTTGGTGAAACACCATTACATATTGCTTGTCTTAATAGCCACAAGAAATTGATTCAATTACTTATTGATAACAAATCATTAATACACTGTAAGACTGAAAAAGGATTAACTCCTTGGGATTATTGTCAATTTAGTGATAAGATTTGTATTGATCTTTCTACAATAAAAGATCCAGATGAAGGCACACCAAATAGTATTTCTCCTTTTTCTAATGAGGTATTTAGTGATAGTGAACAAAGTGGAGGAAATAAATTAGGTAAGAGTCAAGAGATTTTATCACCTCGTCATATTCCAATAAAGAAAGACTATGAAAAACCTCTTGAAACAAAGGGCACTAAAGAAATAACGGAGATAAAGCCAAGTAAAAGTCAGTCAATTTTCCATCTTAAAAGTAAAAGTGATATTCCTAAAGAAATAGAAACAAGTACAACATTTGATGTAAAAGAAGATCATAAAAGTAAAAACTCATCACCACTTGAAGAAGAGATAAAAGAGAAAAATGAAAATCAAGAAAAGAAGGAAAAAGATAGTACAAGTAAAACAGATTATAGAAAATATAAGAAATATAATATTGATGAAGAAAAATACAAAAAGTTTGAAGCATTAGCAACTAAATTTGCAGGTTATTTAAATCCACCAAAACCATTACCACCTAAAGCACCTTATCAAAAAGGAGATAAATTTAGAATATTGTCATTAGATGGTGGTGGAATTAAATGTATTTATCAATGTGCAATATTGCAACGAATTTTAGATAAGTTTCCAAACTTTTTTGAGAAAATAGATGTTATTACAGGTGTAAGTGCAAGTTCTGTTCCATGTGTTGCAATTGCATTGGGTTATGACTTATTGTCAGTTGAAAAGATGATGGAAGATATGCTTTGTGAAACATTTTCTAGAATTATTAATAAAGGAGGAATTGTTGGGCATCAATATTCAAACAAATTTCTTTTTGTTATGGGGGATAAAGTGTTTGGAGATTTAACAATGAATAAACTCACAAGAAAAGTATGTATTCCATCTTATCTTACTGATACTGGAAAAGATGATCCACACAGAACAAGTTTAGCAAAATTTTATAATAATTTCCTTGGAGAAGAAGTTCCATATTCATTGACAGAAGTATGTATTCAATCTGCAGCTGCTCCAGGATATTTTGGGAGTGTAAATGCTCATTTAGATGGGGGAGTTATTATTAATGAACCATGTGGTGGAGTATTATCATATGTTATAGGTGAGTATGGATTAAATGTTGATATTAAAGATATATCAATTCTTTCAATTGGAGCAGGATATCCAGCAATTCCATATATTCCAGAAGAAGAGGTAAGAGAAGCTGGACCTGTTAAATGGACTCTTCATATGCCTGATTTACAAATTGAATCAAGAAAATCATTTATTGAGTTTGAAGGAAAATATTTATTAGGAGAGAGGTTCTTCAGATTAAATCCTAAATTACCATACCAAATTGACCTTGACTATTGCAAAGATGTTGAACTAATTAAAAGTATGGGCGATAATCTTGATTTGACTGATACATTTAAATGGATAGAACAAAACTGGTAAATGAAAAAAAACCATTGTTCTTTAAATTAATATTTTTTGGTTTTTTTACATGAAATCATCTGAGTTGTTATCATTATTTTCATTTTCTTCATCCATATGTTCAAATACATCAGCATAAGAACTAATACGTTGTTGTTCTTTAGTTCTTCTAATATCTTCAGCCTCTTTTTGTTTCTGTGATAATAAATATTTGATTAGTAAAATAGTCATAAATTAAACAAACTCTTTCTTGGTACTCCTTAGCACGAAGTAATTTTAGTTCTTTTTGATAATCAAACCAATCTTTTTTATGTTCTTCTAATGTTTTTTCTTGTTTAGTTTTTTCAATTCTATTAACAATGGAATTGTCTTTAATAACTTTTCTGAGTTTTCTTAATTTCTCTTGATGAAACCCAACTTGTCCTATGTCCATTCCATTTGTTTTTTTTAAATTACTTGCTGGTGTGTACACAATATTAACACTACGTAATTTACATCCTTTAATACTTCTTGATTTAACCAATTGACAACAATCTTCTAATGCCTCTTCTGGGAGAGTTTCTATTGTGTCTCCTTCTTTCATTCGGAGATAAACATGTGCTGATGATTCACTATCAACGTGAAACCATAAGTCATTGGGAAGTGCATACTTGATAAGTTCTTCATTCTCATATTTATCAATCCCAACATAAACAAGATATTCCCCACGAACTAAATAAGTAAAAACCATGTTAAACTATTCTACTTAACCCTTCTAAAATTTTAGTTTTTCTCATTTTTATTAAAGAAAAGGGAAAAAAAAAATGAAAGAAAAATTTAATGAAAAAATCACTTTTCATAGTAATTATTATTCATTGATAATACCGAATAAGCCCAAATACGCAGTGCCATGGCACAAAATTAATTGCTGAGTGTTTTTTTTGTAACATTTACAATATCCAAATAATCTTTTTTTATTATTAAATTACCACTTTATAGTATTAATCAAAAGAATTATTTTACCATAATATTTATTTAGTTTTTGTTTGGTTGTAATGCCTTGATATTAAAAAGGCATTAATATGCCTTAGTAAACGAATATGAAAAAATGCTTTATCAAAGGTAAATAACTTTATCATTTCATAACTTTAACATAAAACAGTATGCAAGTTTAGGTTTATGGTAGTATTTAATTTTTTATAAAATGAATCAAGTATGAACTTAAACGTTTATTTTGTAGTAGTTTTTATGTTTAATGTGCTATTGTTAATGATATTACTCACATTTCAAAAGTTAACTTATTTTAATATTTTTATAAACATATTAATTTTCATTTATTAAAAGAAAGTTAAAATAAAAAATATTTAATTTTAATTCGATATATTAGTCTGTGTTAATGTTTGTTAGTGTGCTATTAAATATTGAAACATCACATTATTTCTCATTAATCTAAAAGAGTTTATAGTAAAAAATAATTAATTCAAATAGAAAAATAAGAATTTTTGTTTATTTATTAAGTGTTTGACAATCAGTTAATGGAGTTGGTTATAATAATCTTTAATAAAACAAAAGTGAAGTATAGTTATTAAATAAATAAAATAAATTTCTCTTCTTTAGATGTTTATTTATAATTCACTCATTTTAATTTATAAATTAATTTATAAAGATATGTTGAATACATTTTACTTGAGCCAATTACTAACCAATAAATATAGATAAAAAGCAGAATTATTTTTAATCATTTAAAAAATTATTCAGAATTACTTTTAATAAGTATATAATTAATTAAGGTTTATAATTAATATAAAACATTTATTATATTCGTTGGCTCTATTCTAAAATTAAAAAATAATGAAATCTGTTCTGAAGTATTTTTAAATTTGTTATTCAATTTTAATTTAGTTTTATATAGTTTTGGTAAAGAAACAAAGAATTAACTAAACAACGAAATAACTTAAGTTGATATAGAAAAATCATAACTTAAAAAAAGAATAAATGTAAATATAAAAATTGAACTGTAGTTTGAACCATTTTAGAAATAAAGAAATATAACAATCGATACATTTTGCAAAATAGGGGTATTTTTCTAAATAGAATAATATTTAAATTTCAACCAATAGTACATCTTTATGTGATTTTAAAAACAAATGTCAATTATGATAATATAAACATTTTAATAAGAAGAAAGGTCTTTAAAACTCTGCATAAGAAGAGAATAAGTGAGAGATAAAATTTCCATCTTTGTATTAATAGAATCATTCCAAATGAATTTTGATTTACAACGATAGATGTGATCAAAAATCGAAGGTTCGTTTTCGTTGGAAAGAAGAGAAAAGAAATAATATTCCATTTCATCGGTTAATAGTAAGTGAGTTGAATGAAATAAAATATCAAATAATGAAAACCATTCAAAATAATCCAAAGTTTCGATAGTAGTTTGCATTTTTTTGAGAACATAACCCAAAATAAATACATTTGACTTTGCTTTTTCTATTGCTTTAGTTAAATGCGATGAAATATAAATCAAAAAAGATGCAGAATCGATAGTATCAATGCCAGTAGAAATAAGAGTCTTCTTGAGAATTATTAGTTAAATTTGTTGGGAGAACGAATTAAAAAAATGATACGAAACAAACAAGAAATAATTGATCAAGATTGAAGAGTTCTAAATATTCTTCACATATTTTACTTTCGGAAAATTGATTTCCAGCACAAAATAATTTATCAAACAAATCTATGATAATAGGCTTTTGATTTATTTGATCATTAATGTAAGATTGAAGTGGTTTTGAAATTGGTTGTGATACATCAGTCCGTTTTTTATCTTCTAAAGTTGATGGTTGTTGTAAAAGAATTTTGTGGTTGTAAGTTTTGTTTTCATTAACTACGTTTTGTATCTTTTCATTAATACAAGCTGTTGTTGGGTTAATATCAAGAAGTTCATCTAACTTTTTATCAATTAACTTATAATGCACCCAACGAATAGTAAATTGATCAAACATAATAAGAAAAATATGTGTTAATGCAGAATGTTTTCTTGAACCACTTTTTGTTGGTTCAGTGTGACATTTCCCATAGTTTATTACTGTTCCTGTCCCGGTACTGAAAACGGTTACTTCTTGTTTTTTAATAGTAATGGGTTGGAGATACACTGTTCTTCTTTGGAAAGTTTTATCTTTCCAAAGAATATATTGAAATAGTATTTTGTTTGCCATAAAAACTACTCATTTTTAGATGAAATAAATAATCTATTTTAACCATTTATTTTTTTTCTTATAAATGAGTGTAATTTCCTCATTGAATAATTCTTTGTAAAAGGATGGTCTGCGTTATGAATTCTAAACTATACAAGAAATCGTTTATTTTTCTTTTCGTTTTTAGATAATTTTGTTTAGAACTATTTACATAGATTTATATAACATTCTTAAAAAAAAAGTAATGGTTTACTCACCTTTTTTTTGTTTTCACTTTTTGTCTTTCTCTCTATCTCTTTTTTAGTCGATAATATTTATTTACAACTTGTTTATAGACTGAATTAAATAATGTTTATTGAATGTTATATGTTGTACTTTAATTAACGAAGTTTCTAGGTTATTTAAGAAATTAGTTTCCTTCTTTTGAATTTGATTTAGTTTGGATAACAACTTAGGAGTACATGTTATTTCTGACTAAGCAAATAATTTTCGACTAGTTTTTTTTAAATTTAATTAATCTTATTGATATTTAAAAAAATGAGTGTAGAAAGATTTATTACTTTAAAATTACTTTTATCAAATTTTTTTAAATAGAAAAAGTCCAATTTTAGGTTCTTATAAAAGAAAAATTTCCACAAACTCAAACTTAGCAATTTTAAAGACAAGACAGCTTTTAACTTCCACTATAATTAAAACAGAATTCCTGTATTCATATTTTTGTTAGATTCTTTTCTTTAAACTGGACTTTTACCTATTTTTAATTGGATTATTATTAGAATTTCTAAACTTCAGACCTCGCTTAGATAACTTAGATTCACTAAGCTTTGAAGAACCCAAACAAACACCCTAAATATTAAAGTCTTGGATCTAAAAATGACGTCACATGGTTCTTTCATTTGAAAATTGTAATATTCTGACTTAAAAAATAAAATTCTTTATAGTCTGTAGTCAAAGAGAAAGAAAAGCAAATTAGAAAAATTTTTTGGCGTAACAACGAATGAAGTTGATGATAAACACTGAAAACTTACCAGATTAATTACAGAATTTCCTGTTTTTAACATAGAAATAATGGATTTAATTTTTAAATATGAGAGGTATTAATTTCAATTGTTTAGTATTTACAATAAATGAGTCAAAGGTTTTGAGGTGTCCGTAAGTGTTGTTGAATGAGAAACTAAGAAACTGTTTTTTTCTAATGGAAATAAACTTTCTTTATTTGAGTTTTTAAATATCTTTACTATATGAAAATAGTAAAATTTTAACAATATTTTTTATTTTTAAAAAGACTTTAAGAATTTATTTTGTAAGTTATTAAACCATTATTTACTTGATATTTATAATAAAATCATGATATTTTTGATTCTCAAAATAAGTTCCTTTCTTTTTTTGCTTTTGTTGAATCAATTCAATGTTTGTTAATAGCAAATAGAATTAACTAATCCAATTACTCGGTAATTTTTTGAGATAGAAAGTATTTAATATATTTATTTACATCCTGTTTTAAGTTTGTCTAGGATTATTTTTTTTTATTTTTATGATACGAACTTACTGTTTTAACCATTTTATAAAGTGGAAAGTTTTGAGTAGAGTGTAGATGGTAACAACATTAAAGAAGTAATTTTGTTCATCAGTGTAGTAATATGTATTTCATAATATTAAACAGTGTGACTGATATTATAATCTATTTTGATTAGATTTGTCAATTTGAAAATTAAAAGAAGTTATTTAATAAACTAATTCTATCTTTATGAAAGAAATTGATTAGCCTTACTACAAATAGAAGTATTATTATATTGATTCACCAAATTACATTTTCTTTCTAACATTATTTATTTAGGATTCAAAAGATTATGAGATAACACAAACTTTATCTGTCTTTATATTTGTGATGATTTTTTAATTCAATTCTACTAAAAATTTTATTTTAAATATAAAAATTTATATTAATCTCAATGTATTGTAATTATTAATTTATGAAGATAAATGAATTTAATAAATTAATAGAATGTTTGAAAGCAAGATTGAGTTTATTTTTTTTAATATAATTGTAGAGAATAATGATTTTATTGATGAATGATATAAATCTTTCATTAAATCAAGTGATTTAATTTTTTTATTGAGATGTTATTTTATTTTTGATATATGATATGGTTCTTCAAAAGGTTAAGTTGTATAATGTAGAAAGAATGATAAAAGAAAAGAATGAACAGATTAAGTGATATAAATCGTTGTTTTAATAAGAATGAACAAAATGAATATAAATACACATAAAAACAAAGTGATAATCAAGAAAATGTATCAAATATTGTTCATTTTACAGTTAAAAAAAGAAGAGTTATAAAGAAAGAATCAAAAGACAATAATTCATTTAACTCAAAGAACCTATAATATTTATTGAGCTTGGATTTGTACCAAGTGGAAATAAACACCTTTTTCTTTTATCAGTTCATCATGAGTTCCTTGTTCTACTACTTTTCCTCCAGAAAGAACAACAATAATATCAGAATTTTTTATAGTTGATAATCTATGAGCAATAACAATTGATGTTACTTGTTTAACAGTCTTATCAATTGCTTGTTGAACAATCATTTCTGATTCATAATCAAGTGCAGATGTTGCTTCATCAAGAATAAGTAATTCAAGTTGATTATTAATGCTCTAGCAAAGCAATTCTTTGTTTTTGACCACCAGATAATGAAGTTCCTCTTTCACCAATTGTAGTATTATATCCCTGTGGTAGTTGATAGATGAAATTATGACAATTAGCCATTTTAGCAGCAGCTACAATTTTATCCATATTTTCTGCAACAAGATTTAATTGGTCATCAGTCCAACTTCCACATATACCACTAATAATGTTTTCTCCAATAGTTCCAGCAAATAATAATGGTTCTTGTCCAACATATCCAGTTTTATTTCTTAATGTTGCTAATTTAAATTCTTGAATATTTCTTCCATTAATTTTTACTGTTCCTCTTTCTGGATTATAGAAACGTTCAATTAATTGAATGACTGTTGATTTTCCACAACTAGAAGGTCCTACAAGTGCAACAGATTTACCTTTAGGAATAACAAAACTTGCTCCATCAAGAATAACTTGTTCTGGTCTTGTTGATATCTAAATTTAATATCATCTAATTCAACTTGGTCAATAGTAAAGTTCTTTTCACCTTCATTACTAAATGGATCTTGAGGTGATTTTCTATCTATAATTTTAAAAATACTTTCAGCTGCAACTTTTGCATTACCAAAATCTGCCATATATGTTGCAGCAAATCCTACTGACATAGCTCCAAAGATAATAGAACACAATGCTTTCATAATATCTGGCATTTGTGAAGGATCTTTCTTTAATTCTTGACCTGCAAAATACATTAATACAGAATATTTCCAGAATATAAATGCATGAACCCATCCAAGAACAAGTCCATTAATAATTGCAGTAAATGGTGCTCGTTTAGATGGTTTAACAAGATAACTACAATATTTCTCTTTGAAATAATCTTCTTTTGCTAACATTTTAATTGTTTTTATATTTACAACAACTTCTGTCAAAGATTTTCTGCATTAGTATAGATTTTTGTTTCTGGTCCAGTAAATCCAACTGAAATTCTCAATTGGATATATGTATTAAATACAATTAATGGAACAAAGATAGTTGCTATTACTGATATTTTTACATCATTGACATATCCAAAAAATAACTGAGAATAAACAATGGATCATTGTCCCAATCAAATTACCTGTTACTCCATTCAATTTAGTTGCATCAGCTGCAAGTCTTCCAGCTAATCTTCCAGTTGAATTCTCTTTTTTATCAAACCATCCTATATCTTGTCTACAAATTGCATAAAATGATAATTTTCTTACTCTACATGTCATGAACTCTCCTGACATCAAAAAGAATGCTTTATGTAAATATGGAGATAAATGCACCACATGAAATTCCAACAAAAATATAAAAATATTTCACAATATCATCAACATTTGGAATTCCAGTTAAATAAACAGTAACAAGCATAACTATAGATTCACAAAGATAATATGAGAATATTGGAAATAAAGCACCTTATATCATTGAACCAATAAATCCAAGAATCATCCATGGAACTTCTTTGAGATTTAATCCAAAAACTCAACCAAATACAAAGAAATGTGCACTAAATTTTTGCCAATTAATTCTATGATCATCATCAAATTCTATATGTTTTGTCAACTTCATTTTGTTCAGGAACAACATCTTCTTCTAAATCTTCATCATTATCAAATTTCTCTTGTTGTTTCTTTCTGTCTAGTAGTTTATGTCATTTTTATTTGTGCAATTAATACTTGTTTCTAGTTGAAAATAATTGTTATTTTTAACATTACTATAGTTGATTAAAGATTTTCTGTTATTATTCATAAAGGTATGAGTTTTTATTGATATTTGGAATAGAATTTAAATAAGTATCAAGGCTCAATTCTTTGTATTTTTTTCATAAAACTAAACTTTTTTAAGTTATGCATAGTACTACTGAATTAAGATATATTGTTTATTTATTAACAACTACCATAATAATACTAAATACATCAAAATATTATATAAAAGTAGTTGAAAAAAAAATATTATTTAAATGAAACATAACAAACGATTATTTTGAATGATATAATGCATAGAATCATAGCCATAATCAGTATTAAAGGTATATGATAGTAAACAAATAAAATAGAATTATTAAAAGAAAGTAAAGGTAATAAAGTTAGTTAAAGAAAAAAAAAACTAAATGAAAACGTTTCATCATTTTAAAACTGAAAAATTAAGTAATATTTTTGAAATATAAGAAGCTGCTAAAATAAATAAGAAAAATAAATTAAAATAATTGATATTTAAATTAATAAGTAGAAATTTTAATAAAGATCTTTTTTTAGACAGAGTTGCTATACTAATTAAATAAATAAACTAATTCGTTTCGTTTTGGTATTGTTGTTCAAGAATTTCAACAAGATTGTTTATTTTTATTCTTTCTTCTGGAATTTGCTTCCAGCACTCTTCAATGACGTTGTATAATTTTTCTGGGATTGTTGGTACTCTTTCTAATCGTTTTCCGCTTGTCACAAACTCAGCAATTTTCCATGGATATTTAAATTGAGAACTTTCATCTTTATCATATGGATTTTTCCAACTCCAAGTTTGATACATTGATACTGCTAATGAATATATATCTGATGGCATTTTATAATGTTCTTTATTTAATATTTCAGGTGCCATATATTTTGGTGAACCAATTCCTTTTGTGAATGTCATATTTGTCATCATTAAATTAACATTTCTTGCACTTCCAAAATCAGTTAATTTGCAGTTAATTTGTTCATTTTCTTCTATTGAAATAACTAAAATATTATCAGGTTTAATATCACGATGTAATATTCCATTTGAATGAAGATATTGTATTCCTTTTGCAGCATCTATCATAAATTTAATTTTCATTTTCATTGGTATTAATGTTTCTTTTCTTTTATCAATCATATCCTGTAATGATCCATACTTTGCATATTCTGTTACCATACATACTTTTCCAGGTATCATTACAGCACCATAAAAATGAATAATATATTCACTTCTAAATTTATCTAACATTGCAACTTCTTTCTCAAATTCATCAATAGCTGTTTTGGTTTGTGCAATTTCTTTCATTTTCTTAATTGCTACTTTACTTCCTCTAAATTTTCCAATATAAACTATTCCAAATGATCCTTCTCCTATTTTCTTTTCTTCTATTAATTCATCTGGATCAAGTCGTGTTGTTAGTTCTGTATCAAATTTAATTTTCATTGGAGCAATAATTTCTTTACTCGTTCCAATATCTAATCCTACTATTGTTATATCATCTTCTATTGTACATGTACATAATGGAATAATAAAAATTTCAAATTCACAGGCTTCTCCTTTTTTCAATGTAATAATCTTTGGTTCAGTTCTTATGTTATATTTCTCATTTCCATCTTGTGTAGTGAATTGAACTTTTATTCTATTATTTCCATTATTTCCAATACAAACTAATTCCCTTGATTCTTCATTTACTTTAATCTTATCTCTATCTGAATTGAAATTAATTTCATTTGTATTAGAACAAATTACATCATATAATTCTTCCATTTTAATATTAGATCTCTTCATTTCAAAGACACAAATATTATCCATCTTCTTCTTTTCTTTTTTATGTTGAATATAGAATAGAGAAATAATAATAATAATGGTAATAACAATAATCAAAACAATTATAAATGTTCCAATTGTAATACCAATGATCATTCCAATATTTTTCTTTTTTTCAACACATCCTGTTTCTTCATCATCTAATCTATATCCTTTAGAACATTCTGAACACTTTGATTCAGATGAATTAATACAATTTGATATGAATGAATAATGTAAACAATTACCATTAGTACCTAATACATTTTCTGTTATGCAACTTAAACATTGATTTTCGTTTGAACAACTCGTACAATTAACTCTACATTTTTTGCATTGATATACACTTGTTCTGTAATATCCATCTTCACAAATTTCACAGCCATGTTTTGTTTTATTCAAACAATTATTAATTTGAGTTTGAGGAAGACAAAGTGTTGATAATTCAAGTCCATATCTAAAATAATCTTCAGCACATTGTATACAAGTATTATTTTTCATACAAGATAAACATGATTTATCGCACTTATTACAATTTTTTCCATCTTCTGCTTTATAATATCCTTCTTTACAATTGACACAACCTGTATATGTTGACATCATTTGGTCACATCGTTGAACTAAATCATTCATTTTTATACACTTTCCATTACTAGGATAAGAATATGGATCACACCCTGTACAATAATCCTTACTTGAACATTCCCAACAATCTCCTTGGCATTCTAAACAATCTCCATCTTCAAGATAATATCCTGATTTACATCTTAAACACCCTTTACTTGTTCTTTCAAAACAATTGTCAATAGTTCCTTCTTTTTTTATTTTATTTTGTTGTGGTTCTTGTTTTGCTTGGCATTTAGTATTGTGATATAATAAATATTCATTAGAACATTCTAAACATTTTTCTGTTATTACATTATATGTTTTACATTGTTTTAATTCAGTAGATAATGTATCAATTGGTGAACAAGTATTAATATTTCTATAATTATTATCTTTGCATTCTAAACATTGATTTTTATTGACTTTATTACAATTTAAAGTGGTTGTACTTTGACACTCTCCATTTATTGAAATTCCATCATTACATTTTAGACATCCATTCTTATCCTCTATTTCACACTCTTCATTATTATTTTTACAATTCCCATGATTGATATATTGGTGAGGTCCACATTGAATACAATAACTATTATTAATGATTTGACAATTTGTTGTTGTTTTCTCAACACACTCATTATTAGAACCAAGGAAATAACCATCTGAACATCTTATTGGTACTTCTTTATTATGATAATATATACATACACTCACTCCTTTATTACAAGAGACACATTGTTTTCCATTTGATATTCCCTCATTACATAATAAACAATATTCATTTTGATAATACTGACACTTCCCTGTAGTTTGTTCACAATTTCCATTATTATTTTGATAATTTAATTCACACAAATAACAAATATCTTGTGTTGAACTCATTCCATATTTGCAATGTTCAATATTAATATTACATTGACTATTATTTGGGATAATCAGATTTGAACACTCTTCACATCCTTTTGAAGTCTTTTTTGTACATTGTGAATCAAATGTTGAACAAATTCCATTTCTCAGATAATAGTTGTTTGAATCACAGTTAATACATTCTGTCTTTCTTACCTGATCTAAACATCCTTGATTATTTGTGATACATCTCTTTGTATCTTGATCATAATACGAATTTAATTGTGTAAGACAATTAATACAACTTGTTTGTTCATTAGTTAATTCATATGGTGCATAACATGATGCACATTTAATATTTGAAATAGAATTAAAAATACATGAAGAACATCCTTCTATCTTAGAAGAACATGGAACACATTGTGTTTCACTAATTTTAACTTCTCCATCTTTGCATGGAACACATTTTGTTCCTAATTCATTTAATATAGTATTTCCTGAACACGATATACATTTTTCTTCTGATGGGTTACAAGCTAAACAATTTGGATCTAATTTATTACACTCATAACAATTGTTTGATTTAAAATAATATCCGTCAGAACATTGTTTACATTGCCTTTCCTCTTCATTAGTTTCTAATGAACATAAAACACAATGCCCATTTATTGCACAACTTCTACAAACCCCTGAAACAGTCTTTTCACCATTTGGACAACTAGTACATTTTCCTGTTACACTTGAACATTGTTTACATGAACTATCACAAGAAGTACATTTATCTTGGTTGAGAAGTGAATAGGTCATTTCTTGACAAGTTTTGCAAATTCCATTTTCTAACTGATGTCCTGCTTTACAATGAATACATTCTCCTGATAATTTATCACATTCACTGCAACTGGAAGAACATGGTTGACAAACTTCTTGTTTTATTTGATTAGTATAATAACCATCTTCACATATTTGACATACTGATGTTTCTCCATTTGAATAATTCCCATATCCACAAGCAGTACAAGTTCCATCTTTCAAGTTAATTCCGTATCCCGGTTTACAAGTAAGACATTTTCCATTCGTTTTATCACATGATTTACAACTTTCATCACATACTTTACAAGAAATAGAGTTAGGATTTGACCAATAAAGTTGTGGACATTCAATACAATTTTGTTGTTGAGGTAAATTAGAATAAGTACCAGACTCACAACTAATACACATACCTGTATTTGTGACTGGATTATGTGTTCCTGGTGGACACTCACTACAAACTCCATTACTTAATCCATAACCTTCTTTACAACTCAGGCATGCTCCAGTAGTTTTCGAACAACTACTACAAGAAGAAGAACATGGCTTACAAGTTGAACTTTCTTTTGCATCTTGATAAAACCCATCACCACATGGCTCACAACTTGATTGACCCATTTGTGGTTGAACTGAGCCAACATTACAGACATAACATCCATTAATCCCTCCACTAGAATATGTCCCAATCTTACATATTGTACAGATTCCATTCTTTGCATCATAACCATACCCTTTTGGACAACTCCTACATCTACCATTTGTGTTGTCACACTCTTGACAATTCTCATTACATGGAAAGCATGTAATAGACCCAGAAGGAGACCATTCTTGTTCTAAACATTTATTACAAGAATTTGCAGTTGTTATACTTGAATAAGTTCCAGCAGGACATAACTCACATTTATTCGTTTGTGTATTTAAGTATGACCCTTTATTACAAGTTAAACAATACCCATTAGTTGGATCACAAGATAAACATGAGCTATCACAAGAAAGACATGAAATTGCTCCTTTTAATGAGTACTGATTTGGGCCACAATAAGAACAACTATTTCCATTTTTATATTTTCCAGCTTCACATTGAAGACACTGAGTATGGTCAGAATTTGAAATTTCATTTCTCTCACATGAGTGACAATAACTTGTTGTTCTATCCTCTTTAATTTTTCCGTCAGGACAAGGTAAACACACACCGTTACTGAAGTATTTTCCTTCAACACAATATTCACAAACTGTTTTCTGAAGATTAGCAACTTGGTTCGTTGGGCATGGTTCACATAAAGATGAACCTTCTACAGAAGAAATAGTATTTCCTTCACATGATAAGCATGAACCCTTTCCTCCAATAGAGTAAGATCCTGAAGAACAAATAGTACATTGTCTTTTATTTGAATCATAACTATATCCTGGATCACAACCAATAGAACATCCTTGTTTTTTATCGCAAATACTACACCCACACTTCTTACATTGCTCTCCATCACCAATTGAATAATATCCTTCTTGACAAGGAATACATCTGCCAGTTGAACTCTCTTTTTCATACCCAGCATAACAATAACTCTTGCAATTTCCAGTTGTTGAATCACAATTCCTGCAATTACAATAATAGGCATTATCATTTCCAGGACAATATAAACTTTTTTTACAACTATAACAACTATATGAATATATTTTTTTGTAATAATTTCCAGGGTTACAATAGGAACAAAAACCATTTGAATAGGATGTTTGACTATCACATTTAGAAAAACAAACACCAGTAGTTGAATTACATGAGTCACAATTGCAAGATAAACAACTTCCTTCATTCATAAAATAAGAACTAGAACATTCTTGACATTTACCATCAGCAGACTTAACATAACCTAAATAGCAATTTGAATTACAAACACCTGTTTGTTTGTTAAATCTGTAGCAATTAGCTTTGTATTGAAATCCATCTCCTGGACAATAATATCCATTGTCACATTTACTACATATTCTCTCTGAACTTCTATAATAACCTGGTGCACATTTTTGACACCTACCAATTTCATCTTTCACATAACCTGTAGAACAACTTGAATAACATATTCCATTTATATTGTTACAAGAATTGCAATTACAACTATAGTCATAATCATCTCCAGGACAAAAATAACCATTCGGACAACCATAGCAACTAAAATAAAAAAAGTATTCCCCAATAGCACAACTCCATGAGGTTACAATGAGTATAGATACTAACTCTAAAAACATTGATTCAAAATAAAATAATAAGATGAAAAAAGAATAAAAACGAATCTTATCACAGAATTGTATTTTTAACTCATCTTGATTGGGTACTTAAATTTGAAAGATTTATAAACAAATTGAAATAAATATAGAATATTTTTGTATTAGATTCTATATAATCCTTTCAAACAACCATAAATAAAAGAACTAAAACTCATTTTTTTAATTTCAAATTTTGTTTGATTGTTTTTGTGTATTATTTTAGAATTATAATTAATCACAAAGCTTAATTTATGGATATTTCATCTTTTGTTCTGAGAAACTAACAACTTAAAATTAAATATAGTTTTATATAACAATAATAAAGTCAAAAATTTTATAAAAAATAAAATTATTTTTCCAAAAAAGAAAGAAAACCAAAAAGAAAATACGAAAAAAGAAAGAAGGAAAATAAAAAGAAAAAGAAAAAGAATAAAAGAAATGAACTAAAATAAAATTTATTTTTTGAACGAAGGAAATGAATGAAACTGAAAGATATGAGAGTACAGCCGTGCAAGGGATTATTAGTTATCTAAATGCATTCATTCAAACAAAAACAAATTTAGGAATTTCTATTGAAAAGACATTAAAAGGATTACAAGAAAGTTTAAAATCAACAATAATATTAATGGTTTATATGCAAAGTATCCAAAATTTTATCCCTCCACACTTGAACCCTGTTAATTTGTTTCAAATGAACGAAAATGCAGAAAAATTGATTCGTATGGCAAAGTCATTTGGACTTGAAGTTACTTGTTCTGCAAGTGCTATAACTCAACCACAAGGAGCTACTGCATCACAAGTACTTGGTTTATTATGGCAATTAATTGATTATGATTTAAGAAAAACATTGGGATCAATGGACTGTGAAGGAGATGTAATGAAATGGGTAAATACAACATTAGGAAGTAAAAGAATGACAAATTATACATCAGACTTACAAGATGGAATAATTTTTCGAGATTTACTACGAGCTCTTGGAGTTCCATGTGGAAATTCATTAGAAGATGTTATAACTGCCTCAAGTACAATAGGGTGTCAATTAATATCAGTTGAAAGTGTACAGAATTGTGTTGTTAAAATGAACTTTGCATTCCTTGCCGCATTAATGAAATGGAAAAAAGAACAAGATGAAATTGAACGAAAACGAAGAGAAGAACAAGACAAAATAAATAAAGTAGAAGAAGAAAAACGTGCAAAAGAAGAAGAAGAAAGAAAAAAACAACAAGAATTAGAACAACAACAAAAAAAAATTAAAGAAGCTAAAGAAAAAGAAGAAAAAGAATACAACAGTTTATTAGAAGAAAAAGAAAGACAAAAAATTGCTGAAGAACAACAACTAAAACAACTTGAAGAAAAACATGCAGAAGAAGAAAGAAAATTGCTTGAAAAATTAAAACAAGTACAAGAAGAAAGTGCTGGAATAACAGCAGTAGAACATCTTAATAATACACAATTAGTAGAAGAGAAAGAAAAACTAAATAATGAAAGTGAACAGATTAGACAAGACATTGATGAAGCATATAAAAGAAAACAAACAACAAGATTTGAGATGTTAAGACTACAAAGTGATAATATTAGAAATGAAAAAGAGTTTCAAAGAGAACTTACAGAATCTGACAGAAAGAAACAAGAGATGATTAAAAAAGAAAAAAGAATGGAAGAACGAATTCAAAACCTTCATTATGAAGAATTAAGTGAAAAATATACAAGTAAAGTTGATGAAAATTACAAACTCAGTGGAGAAGTTCATGACATGGAACAAAAAAAAGCTGAATTAACAGATTTACTCCAACAAAAAGAACGACAAACAAAAAGAGTTAATAGTCTAATTGATGATGTCTCACAAGAGATTCTTAATGTTGAAAAAAGTATTCTTCAGGAAAACAAAAGAGTTAAAGATAATAAAAGGGAACAAGCTCGTATTCAAAAACAAATATCTGACATTCAAACACAAACAAAAGTTGTTAAAATGGACACTCATTCAATTATACAAGAAAGAGAACATAATGAAAAACAATTAGATGCTAAACTAGATAAAATAGATGATGCTAATTATGAACTTGGAAAATTAGAAATGGCTAATGCTGATGCTGATCTGGAAAAACAAGCTGCAAGTGAAGAATTAGATCAAATTGTAGAAAGATCCCAAATTTTATTACAACAACTAGAAAGTAAAATAGCTCGAGACTTATCAAGAGAAAAGAAAGCTGAAGAAAGAAGTAAAAGAATTCTTAATAAAGATAAAAAAAAAGCTAGAGAAAAAAGTAAACAGTTAAGAAAAGAAAAAGATGCAATTGAAATTGAAGTTGATAGTAAAAAACATGAAAGAAGAATGCAAGAAGCAAAATTGGATCGTATCTCTGAACAATACTTAGATATTAAAAAACAACAAAATGATGAAGAAATTAAATTAAAAAGTAAAGATATTGATATTGATAATAAACTGAAAGAAATTAATTCAAAAAGAAAGAAACTAGCAGAAGCAAAAGGAAAACGTAAATTTGCATTACAAACAAAAGAAGGTATTGGTAAAAAACCAGTTGAAGTGTTAAGTCAAAGAGATAAAGAGATTTGTGAAGAAGTTCATAAAAAACATGAAGAAGAACGTAGAAGAAAGAAAGAAGAAATTGATAAATTTGTAGAAAGTGTTGAAAAAGAAACAACACCACCTCTTACAGAAAAAACAGTTCTTCCAAAATTAGTTAATCAAGAAGAAATAGAACGAGAATTAGCAGATAATCATCTCCAACACGTTCAACGACTTGACCCTGTTCTTGAATTAAGAAAACAAGAAGTTGAGAATGTTAAAAGAAGAGAAAAAATGAAAAAGCAAGAAGAACTTGACAGACAAAAGACAATAGCTGAATTAAGTGAGGCAAAAGTTGAAATTGAAAAGAAGTTAAAAGAAGAAGAGTTAAGAATTGCTGAAGAGTTTAAACAAAAAAGAGAACAATGGAGAAAAGAAAGAAAAGAAATTTATAAAAGAATTTATGATGTTGTTGATATAACTGATTATATTAAAGAAGAGCCTGTTGAACTGAAAGGAGTTATTAAAAACAATGCTAGTGAAAATGCAAGTTTATTAGTTAAATGGGATAATGTTAAAGAAGTCAGCGAAATGTTTAAAAAATGGGCTATTGAAAGAAATGCTTTTATTGATAAATTTGATTCAACAAGAAAAGATGGATTTAGTCGACAAGTTAAGTGCACAACAAGTCCTATCTTAGATGAAAAAGTTGATTTATTAAGTTTAAGAAAATTGAGCAATCAAAGTTCAGAAAAGAGCATTTATGGTAAGTCTAAACAACGACAAAAAGTTATGGAATTAGCTATGAAAAAAGAAATGGAAGAGTCGAATAAGGACGGATTACATACACCACGCTTTGAAATGGCTCAAGGAAATAGTCCATTATTTGATAAAAATGGACACATGAATCCTAGTCCTATTCCCATTGCATTCTTTTTGGATGATATGGATGATGAAGACAGAGAAGTCCAACGAAGAATTGAAGAAGAAAAGAAAAGAAGAGAAGAAGAGTTAAAGAAAATGATTGAAGAAGAAGAACGGAGAAGAAAAGAAGAGGAAGAGAGAAGAAAAAGAGAAGAAGAAGAAAGAAAAAGAAAAGAAGAAGAACGACGACTTGAAGAAGAAAGAAAGAGAAAAGAAGAGGAAGAAAACCTCAAAAGAAAAGAAGAAGAACGTCAACGCCAAATCGAAGAGGCAAGGAGAAGAGCTGAAGAAGAAAGAAAACGACTCGAAGAAGAAAAGAAACGACTTGAAGAAGAAAGAAAGAGAATTGAAGAAGAGCAACATAGGATTGAAGAAGAAAAAAGGAAAAAAGAAGAAGAAGAACGAATCAAAAAAGAGCAAGAGAGAAAAAAGAAAGAAGAAGAACTTATTGCTAAACAAGAGGCTGAACGAAAAGAAAAAGAAAGAAAAGCTGAAGAAGAACGACTACAAAAAGAGCATGAAGAATTATTAAAGAAAGAAGCTAAACGAATTGAACAGGAAAAGATTAAAAAAGCAAAAGAAGAAGAACAACAAAAGATAAAAGAGGAAGAAGAAAGAAAAAGAATAGAAGAAAATGAACGAATTCAAAAAGAAGAAGAAGAGAAAAAGAAAAAAGAGGAAGAAAAAATTAAAAAAGAGCATGAGGCTTTGTTGGAGAGATTGAGATTAGCCAAAGAAGAAGAAGAAAAAATTAAAAAGGAACAAGAAGAAAAGGCTAAAAGAGAAGAGGAAAAAGAGATTGAAAGAAAAAGAAAAGAGGCAGAGGATGAACGAAAGAGAATTGAAGAAGAACATAAAAAAATGCAACAGAAGTTAGAGTTATTAAGAAAGCAAAAGGAAGAAGAAGATAAATTTAAAAAAGAAGAAGAAGAAAGAAAAAAGAAAGTAGAAGAAGAAAGAAAACAAAAAGAAGAAGAAGAGAGAATCAAGAGAGAAGAAGAGTATAAGAAACAACAAGAAGAAGTTACAAGAAAAATAAATGAAGAAAGGTTGAGAATTGAAAAGGAAAAGAAACGAATTGAAGAAGAGAGAATCAAAGAAAATAAATTAAAAAAAGAGGAGGAAGAAAGAAAAAGACAAGAAGAAGAAGAAAAACTAAAGAAAGAAGAAGAGAAAAAACGATTAGAAGAAGAACAAAAAAGATTAGAAGAACAGAAGAAAAAAGTTGAAGAAGAACTACGCCAAAAAGAAGAAGAACAAAAGAAAAAAGAAGAAGAGATCCAAAGAAAAGAAGAAGAAAGGGCTAAAGCTGCTGAAGAAGAAAAGAGACAAGTTGAGGGAGAAAGAATTAAAAGAGAGACTGAAGAAAAGAAACGAAAGTTATTAGAAGAAGAGGAATTAAAGAAAAAAGAAGAAGAAGAAAAACAAAGAAGAGAAGAGTTTGAAAGAAGAAGAAAAGAAGTAGAAGAAGAAAGAGTTAAAAAAGCAAAAGAAGATTTAGAAAGATATCAAAAAGAAAAGGCTGAAAGACTAAAAAGAAAACAAAAAGTTAGTGTTGGAAGCCTTGTGTATATTCCTTCAGTCACTGAAAATAAAGTTAAATCCCCTGTTGGATCTCCTAGACTTTCAGGTCCAGTCCAACAAAAAATAGATGAAAAAGATAACCTTATTAATCCATCGACTGGTAACCATAGTATACAACCAAGAAGAAGAAATGTTGTTACTGAAAGAAATGACAAGACTTTAATCGAAGTTAAGAAAACACCTCAACAACCTTTAAAAGAAAGTTTGAGCCCATCAAAATCAACGAATTGTATTATCTCTGCTCCATCAAGTGTTTCTTCAACACCAACTATATCACCAATTTCAACTCCATCAAAATCTAAAGAAGAAACTCCAAGAAGATATCCAACTAATTCAATTACATCAGAAAGTATGTCTGAAACACCTAAACCTTCTCTCAAACAATCAAAAACAGAGAAACATAAAAGCTTTAGATTATCCAAACAAATTTCTTTCTCCAAAAAAGATAAGAAAAAAGACAAAAAAGAAATAGATGATTTAGTTCCAGAGACTGTAGATGGAGAAGAAGTTCAACTTGAACGAGAAGCAATTACAGGAAGAAAGAAAAACAAGAAAGAAAGAACTAAGAAAGCAAAAGGAGGGGATTGTGTTTTGCTTTAAGTACAGACTTTATTTATTTATTTTTATAATTCTCTTTTTTCTTTCTCTTTCAAAATGATTTTTAATCAATGAGGTATTAACAAACAACAGAATAAAGTTTAAAAGAATAAGTAAATTTTTATTTACAGAAGGAGATAATCATAAAAGTATAAGTTTAAGTTAAGTTATTAAGTTTATATTTTAATATGTGAAATAATATTTGAAAAAAAAAAAGAAAAAATATTATTTTCAATCAATTCAATAAAAAAGAATAAATTTCATCATAAATCAAAAACAGAAGTAGAAAGATAAAAAAGTAGTTGTAATAAACTATTATTGGTTCATAAGTATTATAAAAAGTTATAAACTTTTTATATTTAATAAACTATTTTTATGTAATGGAAAATAACTGATAATGAATTTTATGATTAGACAGAATATATCTAAATCATGCATTTCTGAATTCCATTTTGTTTAAAGGATAATCAGTTTTTATTTTTAGTTACATTTGCTTTTTTCTTTACGAGTTAGCTCATTTTTGATAAGAAACCCTTATTGTTTAGAGAGTTTAAAGTTATTTAAAACAAAAAATTTTATCTGATGTTGAAGATACTTTTTTTATTTTTTTTAGTAATAGTTTGTTTATAGAGTTTGAGTTGTTTTTCAAAAAGTTCCTCAGTTTTTAATTAGTTTTGAATTAATAAAAGACGTTCAAAAGAAAATAATCCAAATTATATCAATTTATCTTTAAAAGTTTTACGTAATAGATTCGTTTTAGATGCTTTTAGAAGTTGCATTTAACTTCGACTTATTTTTTTAAAACTCCAATGAAGAGAGTATTGGTTAGGATTTCATTCCTGCTATCGTATTTTTAGAATCAAAGAAATAGGATAGATTTTAAATAGGAATTCAAAGATCCTTATTGAATCAAATGAGTGTATCAAATAACTTATGTCCATCAATATCAGGTAATTTCAAACATACTGAATCTTTTTCAATGAAACCATTTAGATCTTTATCTTCAAAAGAAGGGATTATTACTACAACACGATTAAATAATTTAGTTTCTCCACCCCCAAGATCACAAATCCCTATTATTCCAAAAAAGTCGCCAGAACAATTTTTAAAGTCTAGTCTATTTGATAATAATCCTTCGTTGTTATTTTGTTATTGTGATAAAGTTCGTATTAGCTTTTCTAATATTATATTGAATAGATTTTTGCAAAATAAAACTAACTCAAATAGCTCCTCAAAAGAGATTCAAGTTCATTCAAAATTAATTCTTTATTAAATTTCTATGCATCTCATGGTAAAGTAGTATTTTTATTTATAAAACTTGGAGAAAAAGAAATATCCTCAACTAAAACAGGAACCCCTCTTTTAAAAGGCAATACTCCTTTTATTAGATTATATAAATCATATGTATTAAATTGGTGTAATCGTTACTTAGATGAAATAGTGAAAGAAATAGAAATATTAAAAATAACTAATGGAACTGAGGAAATTGATATTAGTCAAGATAAAAATAGAGAGTTTATGAAAAACTTTGGGAATTCTCTTGTTAAGAATCTATCATATTTAACTTCTCATCAAAGAAGAATTATTAAAGAGTTATGTTCTTATAAAGCTATTTCTCATGACCAACAAATAATCAAACAAGTATTTTCTTCATTATTTTTCCTAAGGTATTGTTTTCTTCCTTTAGTTAAATATCCTTCTTTATTAAAAATCCTTCAAAAAGGAGTTTCTGAATGGATTTTTGAAAAAACAACATTTCATATAATATCAGAAGATCCTATGCTTGACTTAAAAAATGTTCTTAATACTGTGTTTGAATTTATTATGGAATATCCTAATGACCTTGAAGTAGGAATGATAAATAAAGATCAACAAGAAGAATCTTTGCGTAACCTACTTTTAATTCTAAAAGATAATTTGAATGTACTAAGTGCCTATTATACTGATGGATTTGGAGAAATATTTTCTCTAGTGAAAGGAAATCAATATATTAGCAATTCAACAAATATGTCATATGCTTTAGATGAAATAAAAGAATGGACAGTAACTAAACTAGAAACAATGAGTCAATTGAACCTTGAACTTAAGATGAAAGTTCAACAAATGAGAGAAATAAATGAGAAGATTAGGCAAAGAATTACCTTGATTTCATCACTTTTTTCTCAATAAATTGTTTGTATCTCAATCTCTTTATTGTTTATGTTTATTTTGTTAATAAAAAACAAAACAAAAAAATACCTCAAATGAATGAAGAAAGATAATAAAAAAAAATATTTCACAATAATGAAGATTGTTCATCAAAATCCATTTCTTCAAAGACATTTGAACTTTGAACAATTCGTTCACTAGAATTTACTTCTAGTGGAGTTTCTATTGAATTATCAAAATCCCAAGATTGATCATCAAATGAACTTATACCACTTGTTTTCCCATAAAGGGCATTATTTTGATAAGAAAAAGTAAGATGAGAACATGGAGTTTTAACTTTTCTTTGTCTAAGAACTATTAGATTGATTTAAAGAAATTATAATAATAAATAATAACAATATTAAACAAACTTCGAAGACATTAACTTTGAAGGAGGTGGTTGAATTTGAAGAGAATGTTTAGGAGTTAAAACATGACTTCTTTGTTGTATTGGAATTATTTTATGATCTTCTAAAGGGTGTGTAAATAATCTAGTACAAATAGCAGTTTGAGTCATATTAGATTTATTAATTTTATCAGCTAAAAGAAGTACCAAATCATTAAATTTTCTAGCTACAATATCAACTTCATTAATTTGTTTTTGATCATACTTATCATTAACCTTATACTTCACAATGCAAGACTGTATTTTACTATTTAATTTACTAGAATGTTCATATAATTTTTGAAGATTATAACGTTGATTATCTTCAAGATATTCCTGTATTTTTCTTGTAAAATGTTCCATTGAAGGAATTAATGAAGTTATTTCTGATGGGATATCAAAGAATTTCTTTGTTTTATGTGATGAAATAGTAATAATTCCTTCATTAACATATTTTAAATAAAGAACATTATATTCTCTTAGTTCATTAGGATATTCATCAGACCATTCTTCTAACATTTCTCTTATTTGTTTTTGAATTCTTTGATTCTAAAAATGAAATTAGACTCTTCATTTTATAATAACAAACAAAAAGAAAACAAACCTTCTTCTTTCCTAGTATTTCTATAGATGCTATAAAATCAATATCTGCAACTTGAGCCCTAAATGATGATTGTCTTTGGACAACATATTGTGTCAAATATAAACAATTTAATACTTCATTCTCTGATATTGCTTTATTAAAATATGACTTAAATTTATTTACAAGTTGAATTCTTAATGCTCGAGATGCTCCTGGTACTTTTGAAATAACATATGAAACACTTCTCATTTGTTCTTCTGATGGAGGGCATTGACTTTCATGAACAGAATAATTAACAACATCACTCAATGATACTGACATTTATTATTTCAATTTTAATGATTTTGAGTTCATTTTATTCCAATTAAATACTTTAGAAGATTCTATCCTTCAAAATAGTGAAATATTAGATGATAACTTCAAATTAAGAATCTCATAAATTATTTTCATTTATTCTTGATTTTTTTATCATAAATTTCAATTGTATTTTTTTTTAGAAAAAAATAAAAACAAATTTTTTTGTTATTTAAATTTGTTTTAAAAAAATTGTTATTAAAAATAGTAAATAAAATAATATTTATTATTTGAATAAAATAGAAAAGAATTTAAAACAGAAAATAATGATTAAATTGATTCATGAAAATCATTATTGTATTCACGTTATGTTTCCTTATTATTTTAGCAGCTATTCTTGTTTTACCACTACACCCACTATTTGAAAATATCCCTGAGAAGTATTATTATAGTTCTCAATCAAATTACTTAAAATATAAAAATTCTAATAACTTTACATTATTAGGATTAACCAATTCAAATAGTAAAATTGGTTCACAATCTTTTGGGATTCGACTCATTAAAAAACAAAATGGGTCATACTCTATCACTGAACCTTTTGACCTCACTGAAGTAACATCTCCAATTAATAAGAATATTAGCTTTCATGAACTTATTAATTTTGGTAATAAAACATATGGAATTGATGCTAATACCGGAATGATCTTTGAAATGCATCAAAAAACAAACGTTGATGGACATTTATATTACAACACTCTTATCCCTCGTCAAATCCTTCCAGCAAATGAAACAGATGAAGAACTCCCAATGAATATTAGACTTGGATTTGTCAAAGATTCAGTTATGCATGTCATTGCAAAAAATTATATTATTGCAGCTTTAGATAATGAGTTTAGAGTAAGGTGGAGTGATTGGAATGAAGTATTTAAGAAGGCGACATCATCACTAAAATGTTCGTCAATAGAATTTGGAAGTGTTTTATATTCTCGTGAAAATTATACTTTTTCTTTCATTCCATTTGACTGTTGTGTAAATGGTGCAACTTCTGGATTTGGATGTAACCAGATAGTTGTGACTGACGTTGAATACAATGAGTTATATAAAATCACTATACCTCTTACTCCTAGCCAAAGGGTAGAAGCAGCAAAATTTGTTCCATATCACGAAAATGAAATTATTTTATTGATTTCTGATCAAAATCAACCTGACTCATCTCAACTAATGATTTATTCATTAAACAAAAAAATATTATTGCCACTGACAAAGATTAATGTTAGTGCAGCTGTTTCAGTTTTTGAAATAATTTAATTATTAAATCTGTTTTTTTCCTACAAGTTTTGGAGTAGTTTTGCTCAAAATTAATTTTCTTTGATAAGAGAAGATCTTTTTAACATTCTTAATATTATTTCTCTAATACAAATTTGATAATGTTTTAATAATTAATAGATTTTTATAATTCCCTTAAAACTCAACTACTTTATCTGGTCTATCATAAAGATAAAGAAATTTTAGTTTTAATACAAAAAAGAATAACTTATATTCTCTATACTGACATTAAAAATATTGTTGTGCTTTAATAATTTCGTAGGTTATATTAGAATAGGATAAATCCCAATTTGAGAAATGGTTAATAGGAGTTAAAACAGATAGAAACAATTTTAAATAATTTCTTTTTTTAAAAAATACTCAAAAAATATTTATTTAATAATGATGAAAGAGGTTTTATATAAAAATACTGATCAATTTAAAACAATAAACTTCTTTTATTGTTAAATATTAAAAAGAA